ACACACACACACACACGCCCTGCCTCTCTTGTTCTCTCAGGCTTTAATTTATGTTGATCCCATCTGTCAGGAAAAGCTGACATCACACACCAGTTATTTATATATGTATGTGTGTTCACATGTGTTCATGTGCGTGTAGGTGTGTGTGTGTGTGTGTGTGCACCCCTGATGACATCCCATTATGTCCCTCACCCCCGGACTGTATCATCGCCTGTACCGTTCACACACTGCTTTTCTTCTCTCTGTTCTCCCTTCTCTTTTTTCTCTCAGCCTCCTGTAACGCCACATGAATTCCCTACACAAGTGTATCACAGTGGATTGTGTTTTCATTCAACTTTTTATGAACAAACTATCTTTTATTGTTAGGAGAAAGCAGCAGGAGCATGCTATAAAGACAGAAACGATGTTTGTGCTTTGTGCTCACCAACATCAGTTCAAAGTTAATGACTCACTATATAATGGTTTCAGTTTCATTATATGTGTTTATGTATCACTATGTTAAAAACTCTATTCAATGTCTTGGTTTACAGACACAAAAATTAAGTACTAAAAAATGTCTGTGTTTGATATCACATACCATTTATGTCTGGTAAGCAGTTCCACAAAGGAGAGATTTCCCTGTTCAAGGCCAAGACTGGTAATTATTTCACAAAAAAGCAAAGATTAGAGAAAAGCCCCAAAAATGAATAGAAATTGTTATTGGTTTTTTTTCATTAATGATTTCAGGACCCCTCAGATTTAGCTTGGGACCCTTACTAGGGGTGGACGGCTAGGTCTGAAACTGCTGGACTAAACTACCAAACTGTAGAAGCTTCACCTCAACTGGCTACTACATTAAAATGCTACTGATGCATTTTTTCATCAAATGCTTTTATTTTCTTAAACAAAATTTTTCTGATAATACTTAAATACTTTTACTTTGGTAGGATTTTAATGAAGGACTTTTACTTGTAATGGAGCATTTTTACACTAATGTATTTGTTGCTTTTTTCGTAAGTAAAGGATCTGAATACTTGTGTCCTCATTTCTTTCTGCTATAAGGTCACGCTGACAGACGTGGTTATATGCAAATTTTATAGGACATCTCCAAGACTCCCTTCGTTGCCTCATGAATGAATATTTTCAGCAAATTCAAAGCGCTGAAGTGAGATGATAGTGACATATGGGGACTTTTAATCATTGTTATTTAGTAACATGATGAAGATCATCACAATTGCAAATAAGACACACTCGAGCTGCCCAATCTCCCACCTGATTCTTTTCCTCATTAATATGCAAATCTATGCAGCAAGGCCCTCCAAAATCCAATCAGACCATCTCATCTGATGGGTCACCTGTGGTGTGAGTATAAAGCCTTTGTCGTGAGCTTTCAATGAATAATTGTGCTCCCAAGATTGCCATACACACACATATGAAGTAGCACCCACAGGGGCAGGACATGAAAATAAAAATCTGGGTCTGAAACTATTTAAAGAAAAGCTGGGTGATGATGTCACCGCATTGACGTCATTTGAGGTGTCGTTCTGGGTCAGGAGGAGATTTTGAGGTCACTTTCTAAGAAATGTCGAGGAACTCTAACAAAGTACGAGCACTGGTAGATACACTTGCACCACACCTACAGTCTGTGTCTTTACTTTTTCCTCGTGTGTTTTTCATTTTCTAATTGACCCCAGAAATAAGCCATCTGAGAGATTTGACTCGGTACGCAGCTCCGTGGTTTAGCTGATGAAAAACAGAGTTGAGATATTTCAAACACCGTTTTCACTGAGCTACTGTTCTCAAGAGTGGAATTACAAATGAGATTAAACAATTTCTCATTTTTCTGCAGTCGACCCAGGGCAATAAAAACCTGGCTGTAGAAGACACTACGAAACATTTGGAGAATGTGAAAAAGAGAGACAAGCAACATCTGCTGGCCACAGAGAGACATCACACACTAAACTGCAAATGAAGGGCTGCAGAAGCAGTGTGATGTTATTTTTTAAAAACAAATTCCAACTGATGCTCGTCTAAAGAGTTAAATCAAGCTTTTTGTGCCTGACTATTTGCCTTTGTGGTGCAGATCTAAATTCCCCTGTGGCTCTCTCTGTCAGAAACCACCTTCACGTGGTTGTTTCACTTGTTTGATGTGTATGAGTTGAATGAGGACACTACAACAATGAGGAATTGAATTATTCCTGATCAAAGTCTGGGTCACAAGGTAAAATCAAAACAAAGAGAAAATAAATGTAATCATGTATGTTTTTTAATAATATAGCAGAAAGCATCTTAAGCACATGCTTCAATGTAAAATAGCTTATATCTAATCTCCCAATACATCACTTGAAAAACCACATTAAAACAGAGAAAAGAACAGATCATTCAATTTTAGGGGTTTTGCATTTACTTATAAACTTAATACTTAATAAAATATTCTGTATAAAAATAGAGGAAGTCATGAAGATAAATCAAAGGTTACTGTTACACCACCACCTCCGCTTGGCTCAGTATTTGAGGTGTAGACTAACACCGTAACATTGGGTGAGTCGGGCTAGTTGGAGCCGGAGCTGTTCTCTCCTTCATTTTGGATGAAGCTGATGATGTCCTGAACCCACTTCTCAGACTGGTTGGCACAGAATTGACGACCTTTCTTCATCGTAAAACTAAAACAGAGACAAAGATTGTTGATGTAATTTTCAGCATCACTCTTTTGTGACAGATAGTGTGGTCTTCATTAAAACTTTCCTACCATTTGATACCATTTGTAGTTTATATTTAAATCAAAAAATGTAGTTTATGTATCTTTGTTGTCTTTGCTTAGCAGCATGTGTATACGTGAATCTTTATGACTCCGATTTTTGTTATATTTAAATCAAAGAAGGCCAATAAAGTTGATTCAGATTGTGATTCTTAACTCAGAGGTTGAAGTTTAATAATGAGAGATGAAACACTCACATCACAGCCGACATTGGACACTGCTCGTCTGTGTATTTGTAGGTCGCCACTTTCCTCTTAGGCAGGCTATTGACGAACTTAAAGCAGCACTCATCTGGACCAAAGCTGTCTGAGAAAACCGAGAAAGAAACAGAAATGTTATAGACATAAAGAGAGGCTGTGTGGTATTCAACACAAAACCATTACATAAACATAAAATTGTCTTTTTTGCACGTTTTCCCATTTCACTTTGCAACCTTTAGAGAACAAATGTGACGCAGCTGTAACCTGCGGAAGAAGGCTGTGGTTCAGTTTGATTCAGATATGAT